CGCAGTTGTGAGGGAAAAAACCGGGTGTATATCCCCAATGGCGATTAGGCATCATGTAGGCATGGCAAGCACATCAAGGCAAAAAGTGATAAAAAAGCAATGAAAATATGCACAGAAATGAAGGGTGGGAGGGCAGGGACACTGGTGAGACTCAAAACTGACTGAAGAAGTCAAGAAAAGAAGCGACAATAAAGAATACACCAGATACCATATTTGCATTCGAGAGCAACTGGTATAATGGCTCTGCTTGGAGCCGCTAGATGGCTCGCAGCTGAGCCAGCAAATGACTCCGTTTGGAGCAGGCGAATGACTCCGCATGGAGCCGGCAAATGACTCCGCATGGAGCCGGCGAATGACTCCGCATGGAGCCGGCAAATGACTCCGTATGGAGCCGGCAAATGACTCCACATGGAGCCGGCGAATGACTCCGCAGGGAGCCAGCAAATGACTCCGCATGGAGCCGGCAAATGACTCCGCATGGAGCCGGCGAATGACTCTGCATGGAGCCGGCAAATGACTCTGCATGGAGCCGGCAAATGACTCCGCATGGAGCCGGCGAATGACTCCGCATGGAGCCAGCGAATGACTCCGCATGGAGCCGGCAAATGACTCCGCATGGAGCCGGCGAATGACTCCGCACAGAGCTGGCGAATGACTCCGCATGGAGCCGCCAAATTACTCCGCATGGAGCCGCCAATTACTCCGCATGGAGCCGCCGAATGACTCCGCATGGAGCCGCCAAATGCCTCCGCATGGAGCCGCCAATGCCTCCGCATGGAGCCGCCAATGACTCTGAGTAGAGCCGCCAAATGCTAAATATATAGAGATGCATAGCCAGTTGAGAGCATATATTCTCATGGACTATACAGATACCGTCATGTGTGCGCCAGAAACATGAGTTGAGCTAGTGGGTGGGAGGGTGGGAAGGAAATTGTTTGGGAACACATGTTCCGCAAGTTGCACGCTCGAAAGTCCAAACAGCAATGACATGCAAGAGACATTGTACAGGATTTTGAAGGGCGCGTGCCCACGTGACTCACGCATGCGTGCAGGTTGGGCCAGCTCGCTAGGCTGGCTGCTAACTCGCGTTAGCATGCTAACGCTCATATAATACGGTGACTTATACACAGAAACAAAACAATCTCCAGTTAGTGCCACATGCCGGCGACACAGGCTGCTCTGCTTTGGCCATGTGGTGCGAGAGGGTCTAGAATCTGCCTCGTTCCAAGCACTGCAGCTATCCATCAACACAAACGACATAAAAAAACTGTGGCCGCCCACCATTGCGGTGGATAGATACGATTCAGCACGACCTGAAGGCAGCGGATCTCTCCGTGGAGAGCGCTCTCCAAGCTGCAGGAGATAGACTAACTTGGCTTGACACTGTTGACAGATGCGTTGACTCTGCTCCTGTCGAACAGGTTCAGGGAAGATGCGAGCTGCAGATCATGATAGAACTGGTAGGGAAAGTAATATAGAATGTGTAGTATGCTGAATAAGTACACAGATACCACGAAAGATGTCTGTGATTGATTGGGGAGCACTGCCACAGGTTGGTATATCTACTGCTTTTAACTGTACTACAGCGGAAGGTTCACCCCAAAAATTGGCCAATCGGCCTGAAGTTTGGATTATTCCTACTGACGTATATGGAAAACAATTCCAAGTACCTCATGAAACCATTTCATCAATTTTCATAGGTTGTTTAGCGAGATCCTTTAGCCAGAAACCACATCCTATATGTAGGATTTGCTGGTAACAGTTTAAGAGATAGTGTACACTCAGACGTATAACTCGGCATAATAATAATGTACATATAAGACTGTACCATCGAATAAGAACGAAACTGCCACGTGTTTGCTAAAAATAAGAACGGGCTAGGCTAGAACCCTGACCCCTCAGTTCTTTCGGCGACAGACAGTACTGTAGGTTTTGACATTTCATCATGTTTACATTTACAATGAATGTTGTGTGAACTACACATCTATGAAAGGCTATGGAAAGTTGTCGTGGAAGAAAAGACCGGACTTTGTTTTGTACTACTGTCATGACCCGGATCAGACTCGTCGTGAAAGCGACCACGCATTGAGTTCAGCAGCCAAAAGCTGGCCTCCGAAATATTCCAGTGTTCTGTAAGAACCATGATTAGTCCTGCGAAGGATTTGGCACTTTCGTTAGTTGATGAGCAATCGTGGCTTACAACTAGTGGCCTAGAGTCGCAAAGTGTTGTCGTATGTCGGCAACACCTTCAGCACAAGTCGTCAGCATTGTACTCACTACACTGTTGAGCTTGAGGGGACCGCGCTTAGTCCTGCAAGGGAGCTGATACCTTTGTTAGTTGAGAAAGTGTGGCGCCTCTTCTCGTGTCGTAAGACGCAAAGGGTCGACAGTACTTCGTGTACTGTGGACTCCGTACCCTTTTCGAGGGAACACGGCATTGCCGCCTGCAGCTATGTTTAGGGAAGAGCCCATTTGGGTGAACCTGCAAGAAGGACGCAGCTACGCTTCCCGCCTGCTGGAATGCATCCCAGTCCACCGGATCGCGGACCAAGATCATGCCAGCATTTGGAAAACACTGTATTCACATTTGGGTGAGCAGGCTTCCCGTATTGATCTTTGTACTATATTCTAGTTTGGCTAATTGCACCACTATTTGAAATAAGAAATAATCCTTATGCATTCTTGTCACTGTTGCCTACTTTTGATCACGTAATGTAGCATATATATTAAGGAGCTGTTTTGCTGGCATTCATCCTCGACTCTCGGGGAGCTCACTACTCCCTCGATTCACTCTCGATTCTGAGAGAGTCACTCCGACTCTCTCCTGCTTTATGTCTTCGACTCTTCACGCTTGATCTTTCGATCTAGCATTGCAATGGTTCAATAAACACTGTTCAAGTGGAATTATAAATCTGTCATTCTGTGTGAGCTAGCTAACTCAGTAGATGGCGACTATATTGGTCGTCTACCTGGGTAGCCACTAGACTGATCTAAGCCAGGCCTCAAACCCGCCAACACGCGGCCATGACACTACCAACCTGTATGTCCTATCTGCAGGAACTATAGCATGATGTTGGGCTATGCAGATTGCGTTCAAAAATAGGTTTGCTTGTGCCAGGTCACCACCATGCCTGATATACCAATGGTGCTGCAGATGCAGCACTAAGTGGCGAGGGTGGGGTGGTATGGTCACAAGTGCCCAACAAGGGGGCGAAACTTCCTTAGCTGCATCAATGTAAACTCACTCCGAGTAGTGAATACCCAGTTGACCATGGATATCGGCGCAGTTCATCGCATCTAATAAAGTGGTTCACGCATGCATCACCACATTTGTTAGCACAGTACACGCACGTGTTGTAACTCGCTTTCTCTGCCTGCTCCCAGTCCCGTGCCATCTCCACACTTATACAAAGGGACGACGATAACTACATTTAGAGGACTGTTTATTGACACGAAGAAGAAACACAACTAGACATGACGAACTCAAGACGAAGACATCATGAACTCAAGGCGAAGACATGATGAACTCAAGACGAAGACTGCTTTTTACACCACAGCAACACGCGCATGCACCAACATGACGTACACACGACGTACACAAAATAACGTACTACAACATAACTCCCTCCCAAGAGTAGAATCGTCCTCGATTCTAATAATAAAACAGAGTAAAAAGAGGAAAAGATCACACAAATCACTCAATCATACCACACCAGTCACACCCAGAAATAAAATACCTCTGCCTGCACTGCAGATTACAAAAACTCTGTCCGCCCACCCAGAACACCAGCCACGATCGCTGTCACACGTGTAGGAACTGATAACCTCAAAAACTCTACTTCACACAACACACCACCTCACGATCACGCAAAAATTCTAAAAATGTGAGAGCACAAATCATAGGAATAACAAAAAGAACAAAATCCACCGGCTCTGTGGGGGCCTCTAGTTATCCTCATAGAAGAGCAAATCAAAAAACAAACAGAACACACGCGCTGTGCGGGCGCCTCTTTACCCTCGAGGAGAGCAAATAATAAAGAACAAAATGTTGGGAGAACAGAAAAATACACAACTCACATACTCATCATGTTCACAACAACACACGTACCCTCTCACCAACGAAACTCCTCACGCCGTCTGCCATGCCGTCCGCCATCTCAAAGCGCTGCTCAGCGTCCACATCCTCACACTGCAGCCTTCACCTTCCATCCTTCTTTTTTTCTGTTTCAGTTTTTCTTCTGGGCACAGTTTTACGTCGTGTCCGGGACCATCCATCCTTCTTTTTCCTTTCCTTTTCTTCTGGGCACAGTTTTACGTCGTGTCCGGGACCACCAGTGACGACGACTGCCAAGAGACGGGAGAGACGAATGATGAAGGACGAGAACGACGGACGAACTTCTTCAAGACGGACAAAACTGTGACGATAGGACGACTGGAGATGACATCGGAAACTGGGAGCGAAGGCCACGCAGGACGAATCCAGAAGTTGAAGTGTACAACAATTTCCATTACCGCTGCCACCAATGTTGTAACTCGCTTTCTCTGCCTGCTCCCAGTCCCGTGCCATCTCCACACTTATACAAAGGGACGACGATAACTACATTTAGAGGACTGTTTAACGACACGACGAAGAAACACAACTAGACATGACGAACTCAAGACGAAGACATCATGAACTCAAGACGAAGACATGATGAACTCAAGACGAAGACTGCTTTTTACACCACAGCAACACGCGCATGCACCAACATGACGTACACACGACGTACACAAAATAACGTACTACAACACACGCTCCCTGCGGGCAGCGCGGATCTCGAACTTGGGACCTCATGATTCACAGGCACAACTACTCAGGCAACGTGCTTGTCGCTGACCTTCTTGGGCTTCTAATTGAACTGTTGCTGGATGTGCGACTGTATATTCAACTGTTGTTGTTGTTGTTGCTGCTGCTGCTGCTGCTGCTGCTGCTGCTGTTGTTGTTGTTGTTTTCTTGGCAGTCTGCTTTGGAACAGATCAGTTACAAAGGAAAGTCCTAGATGCATCATACCTGAAAAACAACCTGACTGGATGCACTATTATTGATGGAGATTTACGAATTGGGATTGCTTCGTTTAGTCCTGACCCAAATCATCCTCAAGCAATGTGAGTTCAGCCAGCATGCTGATATTTCTCTTTGCTGCCTAATTAAAGTAACCCCCAATTATTTATTGGCTCTCATCAGCTCATGGCCTGCTGTTATGTTGCTGCAACTCTGTAACCCATACTCTAGGTTGGATTATTAAAAATAGTCATCATACTTTTGCCCATGTTATTTAACTCTCTAAGATACCTCAAGACACTACGCCAGGGACGATTAGCAATGCGAAAGTTCGAAAGTAAATTTGAGTCTGGGAACGAGTACAGAAACAAAGCACGAACGTTCATAAACTTCAATGCAAACTTTGTTGTTTCGCGAATATTACTTTCTCTTTCCGCAGCACATACTCGACACTGGTTTGGGTTCGTGAGGGGGGGGGGGGGATGGGTGCACGTCAGCACGAGTCAAGTGCATCAGTTCCAGTGACGTTTGTACATGGCATGGGGTGACAGAGGAGAAAAGAGACTTTTGCTTGCGGAGCTGAAGCTAACTAAAGTAAAGGATTTGATGGAGTCCTGCCAGCCGCCAGTCAACGAACTGTACTACGGTTCTTTATCTCAGGTGGAACCTGACAGAGCATAGAAGTACGTACAGATCTGCTTCAGACTTGGTTTTCACGACAACTTTCGGCTGGTCATGATCCTCCCAGATACTGAAAACCTGCTAGAAGAGAATGCAGACATGAAGCTATTCTACAGATTCTTTCTTTCCTTTCGTTTCTCTCCCCTTTAAAAAAGGGCTTTTGCATCCTGCCAACTAGTTCTCAGCAACAAGAGATAGGCTCAAGTGGCCATTGACTTTCCATACAAATACAACCTACATAGCGCCGACGCACCGCAACAGCTTCGATTTCAACTTTCTTCTCGATCTTCAGCTTCACAAAGTTCAACTACAGGACAGTATTTGCTAGTCCTGCCTGCTGCGGTCTGAAGCTAGAGCCGCATTGACGACCTGCAGGTAACGTTTGGGTACTGTAGAGCGGCTTGCTTTAGCAGGTAATTTTCTTAGCGTTTTCTGAATCTGGACCAATTCGGATGAAATATTTTAGCGATCCGAGTGTCAGAGATAAAAAAATAAGAAAGATGACTAGTGCTGTACTGCACATGCAACATCTCGATTGGTGCGGCAAAACGTTGTTGAAAACACTCCTCTCGCTATATTCGCTAAAATTAGTCGTTTTACAGTGACTGCTGTTGGAGCTGACGGATTTTTCCGACTCGGACATCTTCCGCGAACTCTCGCAACAGCACTTCAGTGCACCTGTGCTTTCACACGCTCATGTGACAGATTTTCTCAGTATGTGCACCGGAAGCGGAGAAGCTTCACGGTCTCCTGCTGATTCTAGCTCTAGGTTTTTGAAAAGAACCTCCTCACGCTACACAGAAGAAAGAAAACCCAGGCTTCGCTTTTACTCTCTACTCTACTTTCCGTCCTCTCTCTCTCTCTCTCTCTCTCTCTCTCTCTCTCTCTCCCTCCCTCCCTCCCTCCCTCCCTCCCTCCCTCCCTCCCTCCCTCCCTCCCTCCCTCCCTCCCTCCCTCCCTCCCTCCCTCCCTCCCTCCCTCCCTCCCTCCCTCCCTCCCTCCCTCTCTCTCTCTCTCTCTCTCTCTCTCTCTCTCTCTCTCTCTCTCTCTCTCTCTCTCTCTCTCTCTCTCTCTCTCTCTCTTGCATGCAACTACTGAGAAAACTGTGTGCTTACCCCGGATTCACGTCCAACCAGTCAAGCACGTTGTTCTACTGCTTACATGCAGTGCAGGTAGCACGTGTACCAGTGTACTCTCAAACGTCAAAGTGCCCTGTTCGACCCCAGATAGGGTCTTATCGCGAAAAGTGCAGTTCGCGTTGCTCTAAACCTCCGCAGACTATTTTTCTCTGAACAGAATTTCACAAAATTTCACAAAATTTCACCCCGAACGAAATTGCGAAAATCACTGGTGCTTTAAAATTAAAATTTCTTTGTTTCTTCTCGATTTTCCTTTTCTCTGTGTTGGCAATGGCGTGTGGTACTAGATACGTTCGTGTTCGTTCCTGAGTGTTCCTATTGTAACTGAGTATTGTTCCTTGCGTTTATGATGTCTTCTTCAGACCGTTGAATGCCAACAATCCATCAGAACTCGATGCTTTACTCACTGTCCAGAACATCAAAGGGTGTCTCTATTTGGACAATGCACTCATAGCGGATGTGAGCTTTCTGAGGAACGTGCAGAAAATTGGAAAATGCACAACGTCCAACGTGGCGGCATTTAGTATACTTGTAAGTATCCATGGATACAGGGAATGGGGATTTTTGGTCTTTGACCACTTTGGAGGTGGGTTTGATCTACTAACCCTCTCCCCCCCCCCCCCAAGCTCGTCAGGCGAAATAGCACGTCATCGTACATTTGAGATCAGCGGGAAGAAGATGACGACGTCCACTAATTTAGTATCTGTGCACACGAATCTGCTGTGTGTGTGACTCTGTGTGTCAGCTATGATATCATCTTCTGTGGTTCCATGCCTAGCATGTACGTCTGAACCATCCTGCAAAGTTTGAATGACGTAGGTTGAGCGATCGCTCCGCGAAATATACTTTTTGAAATTCTCTTCATAGTATATCTTCCTCCATTGAAATTTCGAATTTCTTCAAAAAAAGTGCTGAGAGGGGTGGCTTGCAACCTCGATATGGCTTGTTCCAGGCATGCTTTGGAGCCATCTTCTGTTGAAGTAGTGGCGGGGATCTGCCCTGCAACTGCTACAACAAAAAATGATTCGATCTGAGAAAGGGTGAGACCGCGAATCTCGGTTGAATATTGAGTATTTCAAGCCTTTTCACGACGAAGATGGAGTTCTTTTTGGAGATGGACGTCGCGGCAAAGGACATGGTGTCCGACGTCTGGCGTCTGGTGAAGCCAGGGATCATTTGTCCAGTCAGGTTGGCAGCCTAACCGTCGGTAAGCTTGTGTTTGGATCCCGTTCTGCTCGATGTGGTAGATCACAAACAGTTTGATATCGCACAAATTGATCTCAGCATCGTGCGTACGGTATTTTTATATTCAGAAAATCCCAAAGTGTCTCTGTGTGGCCGTCCTATGCCACGAATAACTCCAATCAGGCTCCTATGTCCTCTGCCTTCATGATTGAATGTCCACTTCGTTTGAACAACGAACACAACAATCGAGGACGGCTTTGCAATGAAAAATACAGCTATACTGGAGCTGAAAAAAAAGAAGAAAAAACGTGCTCAGGATGAGACTCGAGTACACGCATACTCTCCCAGCAGGTGAAACGCAATTTTTTGTGAAAAATGCGTGACGCCGACTGACCAGTAATTTCGCCTGACGTTAGAAGTTGCATCTGCACCTTGATCCTTGTTAGTGGAAGCATTTTTTTAACGGATGTGGAAAACACGGTCTAACCAAGTCTCACGCAAACTGTGAATATTATTGAAGTGCCGTCTAGCCTCTATACTAGCTTACTAAGCTATATCAGGTGAAACTGTGTCTTAGACCTTCAGCTCCCCTATCTAGTACTGTTCTTGGTTCTTCAACAATTTGCATCTGTTTTCACAGGTCATTGGGACAAAATCAAAAGTGACATACTTGGGCCTCTCAAGTCTAAGATCTGTTCAAGGTAACGCCTATTTTACGACATCAAACCTGTGCTACGTCGATACGCTTAACAGATGGGACAACATTACATCCAACCTATTTGATCAGACAACGGCAAACTGCAGTAAGTATTTTAATGACACGGTGCTACATCTGTGTCATCTTGTAATGTAAGACGGTCAGTTAGACACTGCATTTGCTCTGCCATCCATGTACTTGTGACTCTCACCTTCTTTCCTTTTACTGAAGTAAAATTCAGCTTGTCGCTGACTGACTCCCTGTCTCACGACAACCATCAACAGTAGATTACATAATAATAATATCCACAGAACTGACTAAAAAACATGCCGCAGAACTGACTCAAGCTCATGTGTTAGGAACACGAGTTTCTCTGAAGTGTAAGTCTTGAAAAATGATATTGTTTGTGTTGCACCGGTCAGAAAACTACGAGGCTGTATGGTCCCTGCCTAGACCATACAATGATCTAATCATGCAGTTTATACACACACGTAACTGGCTCACTCTGAACTGCTCTGAACTCGGAATGTAATTATCTTCAACCAGACTCAGCTGCAGCAAGTGGAGACTGCCTCCGAACATCCCAAAACCAACTTCACACGAGCATGTGTAGTAGCTGGCCCTCGGAGACAATTTCACACACTCAACAAAGCACTCACTTTGTGGTTTCACGAATACTCGTTAGGACAGAATTATTAGTTACACACTCGGCAAGTAAAGATAAGAAGTGAAAGGAGCACAAGAAAAGAACAATGCAAGAAGACAAAACACGCGGCGAACGGCAGCCATGTTTTTAGGTCATCAACCAATGAGCAATCTATATAAACCGGTCGCCGACGAAATTCTAGAATATTCCAGAGCTGTGAACTGTGATTGGTTAATTATGCTAATGGTCTAGAACAATAACACTAGCAGCAGTCATACGGGTAAATACGGGTTTAGCCATACACGACTCATACATTACTCACGAGCGACTCACGGAAAGGGTAATAACATGCAGATACAAAATACGCAAGGAGAGAAAAAATGTAACTAACTGCCCATCTTGGGGTTTGAACCTAGGAATCTGTATCAACACAAGCTCTACAAATAAATACTCTTTTACTGCGAAAAATATACTTTCTATTAAAATGCAACTCCTACACTACTCCCCCCTACGAAAATAAATCGTCCCCGATTTCAAGTGAATACATCAACACAACACACACCAAATTCAAAGCAACACGGCATATACCAAATTAAATATGAAGAAAATAAGACACACATTCTCACGCACGTACGCACTCGCACGTACACACTCGCAATCATGCCGGCACACATGCGCACACGGGCATGCACAGTCACACATGGACTGTCTCACATGGGCTTGACCCACATACACTACACCACATACAATACACCACATTCACTCACCTACTCATTGACACACATACACTCTCACACACTCCAGTCTCTCCGGAGGCGTGGGTTCGAATCCCACCGCTGCCACCAATGTAGTAGCTGGCCCTCGGAGACAATTTCACACACTCAACAAAGCACTCACTTTGTGGTTTCACGAATACTCGTTAGGACAGAATTATTAGTTACACACTCGGCAAGTAAAGATAAGAAGTGAAAGGAGCACAAGAAAAGAACAATGCAAGAAGACAAAACACGCGGCGAACGGCAGCCATGTTTTTAGGTCATCAACCAATGAGCAATCTATATAAACCGGTCGCCGACGAAATTCTAGAATATTCCAGAGCTGTGAACTGTGATTGGTTAATTATGCTAATGGTCTAGAACAATAACACTAGCAGCAGTCATACGGGTAAATACGGGTTTAGCCATACACGACTCATACATTACTCACGAGCGACTCACGGAAAGGGTAATAACATGCAGATACAAAATACGCAAGGAGAGAAAAAATGTAACTAACTGCCCATCTTGGGGTTTGAACCTAGGAATCTGTATCAACACAAGCTCTACAAATAAATACTCTTTTACTGCGAAAAATATACTTTCTATTAAAATGCAACTCCTACACATGCATCTCTAGTGCGCATGCTCGTGAGAAGTCATAATAATATGACTTGACTGAGGGACACAACAATTCCCCCACCACTAGAAAAAGACGAACATGGAAAACAGTAATAAGAGTGGTTCAAATACGTATGGATGGCTACTATGCGAGTGTCTGATCTGCAACCAATTATGTCATCATTCGCTATAGAATTATAACCGATACCCATGGCTGACATAGTAACTATTCATGTATTTATGACGGCTAATACCTATAGTTATTTGAACTATTTACAGAAACAAGGTTTGTATACACATTATAATACAGTTCATGACCACTGCAGTAACTGGAAACCACTACTTGGCTTGAGTGCGGTACCGTTCAGGTATGACAACCTGGCGGCCGGACCGGGTCGTACTAGTGTTCTGACCAGGTGTCGATGGTGTTGGCATTCTAGACTCAGACTCACTATCCGTAGGTATTGTCGTGGTTGTTGGTGTAGGGCTGACTGTTGACTGACTTGACGGTTGTTTCTCAGCGGTAGTAGGACTTGAACTTGAAACTGTACCGGTAGAAGAAACACTGGGACCAGTATCAGCGGATGACGATGGAGCCTGATGCGTCGATTTAGGGGGAGCTTCAGCCACATCCTCCCTCACAAACTCAGACAAAGGAACTGAACGTGCTCTCAACTGGTTGCGATGACGCTTCCACAAAGCATCCTGAACTTGAACTTGGTAGTTGACTGGACTGATGACTGACACGATGCGACCTGGGACCCACTTTGAACCATAAGAGCCAAAATTTAGAGTGAACACAGCGTCGCCTGGTTGGAATTCTGGGGTCTTGTTCATGTTGCGTTCGTAAGAGTCAACAGACGGTTTGGCGGTCTGTTTTAGCGTGTCAAAACGGGTACGTGGTTGACGCATCATAAGCATCTCAGCTGGTGACTTGTTGTTTGCTGAAGGGGTTGTACGATGTGACAGGAGGAAGCGTTGTAGCGTAGCGTGTAGGTCACCCTGCGTACCCATGGCTTTCAATTTTGACTTGAAAACCCCAACATAGCGTTCTGCTAACCCGTTGGTTGCCGGATGTCCAGGAGCGGAACAAGTGTGTCGAATGCCATTCTTGTGTAGGAATGATTGAAATTCTTCACTCGTGAATTGTGAGCCGTTGTCCGATACGATGTGATGTGGTAGGCCAAACAAAGCGAAGACACGGCGTAAAGCAGCGATAGTAGTAGCGGACGTTGCACGGTCCATAGGAACAATATCCAGAAATCGAGAATATGAATCAACAATGACAAGAAACATCTTGCCCATGAAAGGACCGGCGTAATCAATATGTAAGCGTTGCCAAGGTCCCGTCGGCCATGACCAGCTACCAAACTCCTTCGCTGGCAGGCGTGCTTCAGCTTGGCATTCCGGACACTGAGCGCAAACCTGCTCCAAATCTCTGTCGATACGAGGCCACCACATGTAGCGACGTGCCAAGCGTTTCATACGAACTACACCTGTGTGTTCATAGTGAAGATCGTTCAGCAAGAACTCACGTAATGATTCTGGAACAATGACACGATCGTTCCAAAGAAGGATATTGTCAGACACAGACAACTCCCAGCGCTTCGCAAAGTACGGCTGTAGAGTTTGATCAATGGTTTCCGGCCACCCATTCAGTACATGGTGCCAAACTGTCTTCAGTATAGGATCCCGTTGCGTTTCGGTAGCAACTGTGTCCGCATTAATGACTTCGCTTTCAATGAATAGTACCTGTTCATCAGCTACCTCGTCGGAGCAGGGAGCGCCAGGACCAGGTTGGCGCGACATGAAATCAGCGAATGGGTTTTGGCGCCCTGGAATGTGCTTGATAGAGTAGTCGTATGCCGCTAGGGCCAACTTCCATTTCTTGAGTCTCGGTGACACCAAGTACGGAACGCCGTCTGTACACCCAAGCAGTTTAACAAGCGGCTGGTGGTCTGTTTCGAAAATGAACTTGCGACCGAGAAGGTACTGGCGGAAAGTAGTAGCTCCGAACACCACGGCAAGCGCCTCTCGCTCGATGTTAGAGTAGTTCTTTTCCGCCTTGGTCAAAACACGCGAGGCATATGCAATGGGACGGAAATGACCAGGTCGCTCTTCTTGCAATAGCACCGCTCCTAGACCTACGCCTGAGGCGTCAACTTGGACCTTGATGTCCTTCGTAGTGGAGTAGAAAGCCAACGTTTCAGTGGCGCAGAGTGCACATCTGATTGCGTCAAACGCGTTGCTCTCACTAGACTCCCACTTCCACACAGCATCTTTTTTGAGTAAGGCGTACAACGGTGCCATGATGGTGGCAAAATTCGGAATGAATGCTCTGACGTAGTTCGCAGAACCGATGAACGATTGCAGTTCACTCACAGTAGTTGGAGGTTTTGCGTCTTTCATGGCTGTAGTGCGCTCGGCTGATGGCGATACACCCTCCGCTGAGAATGTGTGCCCCAAGTAGGAGATGCTGTCAAGCATGACTTCAAACTTCTCGAGTTTTAGTTTCATGCCGACTTCTTGCAGGCGCTGGAGAACTTTCACAAGGTTCGCTCGATGCTCGTCAGGTGTTTTGCCCGTAACCACAATGTCATCGATGTATACAATGCATCCATCGATGCCAGCCAGCACAGTCTCCATGGTGCGCTGAAAAATGGCAACAGCCGAGTGTACACCGAACGGTAAGCGCACATATTCAAACAAACCACGGTGAGTATTGATAGTGGTGTACTTTCGGCATGATTCATCGAGCTCGAGCTGGTGATACGCCTGCTTGAGATCGATTTTGGTGAATTTCGTACCGCCTGACAATTTAGCGCGGATCTCAGCGATTGTAGGTAGCGGATAGCTTTCCAGCGGTGAATGTGCATTCAGAGTGCGCGAGTAATCCGCACAAATGCGAATCGAGCCATCCGGCTTTTTGACCGGAACAGTTGGCGTTGCCCATTGTGAATATTCAACTTTCTCGAGAATGCCATCGCGCTCGAGTTGATCAAGAGCCTCATCGTATTTCTCAGTAATTGCAAATGGGACTTTGCGAGGCTTGAGGAAAACCGGGTGTGCGTCGTCAACACGCAG